AAGAATAGAACTGAACTGTCTGCTTTTTGTTCTGCGATGCTGATATTTAGAAACTGATTGTAGTCCAACTAAATCAAATTGATTCCTCATATCCAAGCTACAAAAAAAGTATGCAATCCAAAAGAAATAAATATGGAATATGAAAAAAGTAGTAAATATGGAAACTAGGAAATATTGAAAAAGTAGATCCAAAAGAAATAAATAATAAGGTGTATTAAAATTCAGTGCCCATACATGGATTCTTTAAATAAACTAAAATATGCTGCAGCTACAAATTATTGGAATGGTTGAGAATAAAAAAAAATAAAAAATTATTATTAAAATTATTTTATTTTGCAAATACGTTTAAATTAAAATATACGGCGGCCTCCCCATAAGAGCAATGAGAGAATTTATGTCCCAGAATTGAAGGACAGAAGATCGAGTTTGACATAAGTCCATCCTTGTTCAGTAGCTGGATGTAATGCACATGCGCCGAAATGCTACTTTTCTATTGGCCGAATGGTGTCGAGATGGGTTATCGATTTATTTTTGGACGCGTCGTCGGCGTGGATTTTGATTTCAGTTTGGACTTGGGCAGTCGCCATTAGTGTTTTCTCTAACTTTTTGTGTTTTCCACGTGTACTGTGTTTTCGTTTGTATTTTAATCTTTGTGCGGTTATTGACAATTTTGTGATTTAGTTTTAAAGACTTTTGCTGTAGTTTAATTAATAGAACAATGGGAATGGGCTACTGCTTTTTGTGTGGTAGAAGCCAACTAACCAAATTAATAATAGAAATTTTTCTCGATGTTCGTTTGTATCATGAAAGCAAAATCAGAAATGAAAGGGATGTTAATATAAGACAAAAATATACGAAACTAATTTTATTCAAAAATCAATAATTGTTATAAGCATTATATTTAGTCTTACTATTTTAAAATAAAAAAGACATTATAATGTAAAGACTAAAAATAGAGACTACATAAGGCTAATTATAATGCTTACACAGTTACACACAAACTGTCTTATTGTAAATTATTATAGTTTTTTTTTCATAATATAAAAGAGTATTTACAATGCAACAATGTAAATAATTATATTTTTTGTATCTAGGTTGATTTATGTATAAACTTAATATGTACAGGGTGGGTCAAATTCGACGCTTTTAAATGGAAACATTCTTTTTTATAGAAGATAGACGAAAACTAATATCGGTGTCTGGAGCTCATTTTTTGTCAAAAACATGATGGTGAAAACCGCATATCGATATCTGTAACCGTTTCGGAGTTACGGGGTGTTTTTCAAAAATATGCATTTTTAACAAATCGCTGTAACTTTTTTGCTATGGAAAATTTTGTATCTTTATGAAAACATTTCCAAGTCACCTTTTTACGTAGAATTTAAAGGTTTAAGTATAATTTTTTTAAAATTAATAATTTAAGAATTATCAACAGAAAATTAGATTTTTTATATGGGACACCCTGTATATTTTTAATTTATTGAAAATAATTTAAAATTACCTTTCTAAAAATATATCACACTTGATATTTTGCTCGATTCCTCTCCGAGATGTAGAGTATATAAAAATTGGCCCGCTTTAAATAAGTAGGCTTTGAACAGCACCGGCTGTAATGCAAAATAATTCTAGCTGTGAGCATCAATTAAAACGAAAATAATATTTGCTATGAGAGATGCAGAATTTTATAACAATTTAAATTATATTTAACCAACATCAACATATTTAAACTATATTTAATAACAATAAAAATAAATAGCAAACCAAGACATGAGATTTTGCTACAGGTGTTCGACATATCGACCATCTTCTGCTATGGACAGACGGGGCAGTTTTTGAACATTTCTCGCGGAATTCATTAACTCAGTGGAGGTGAAAGATACCCTCTCATAACTGCTAAGTATTTCTAATTCTTGTCTAGATTATACGGAAGAATAAGGAACCTTTATCTTCCGCAAATATATCCATAGGATTAGATCCATGGTCAGGCGGCCTCGACGGCCAACAGCTGGGAACTTGGTTCGCTATTCAATTATTCTTGAAATTGGCTGCAAAAATTTGCTGACAACTTCAGCGGTCAGAGGCGGTGCGTCACCTTGCTGGAAAAATATGTTTTCGAGTTCCATTAAGGGCATATCATCAATAAGGGGTTCAAAGCCTACTAATTAAAAGTGGCGAACTTTTAAAAATTCTGTATTTCGAAGGGGATTATAACAAAATATCAAGAGTGCCATATTTTTGGAAAGGTAATTTTAAATTTTTTTCAGTTAATTAAAAATATAGAGGGTGTCCCAAATAAAAAATCGATTTTTCTGTTGATAACTCTTAAATTATTAATTTAAAAAAAATTATACTTAAACCATTAAATTCTACGTAAAAAGGTGCTTTGGAAATGTTTTCACAAAAATACAACATTTTTCATAGCAAACAAGTTACAGCGATTTGTTAAAAATGCACATTTTTGAAAAACACCCCGTAACTCCGAAACGGTAACAGATATTGATGTGCGGTTTTCACCATCATGTTTTTGATGAAAATTGAGCTCCAGACACCGATGTTAGTTTTCGTCTATCTCTTATAGAAAAGGGTGTTTCCATTTAAAAGCGTCGAATTTGACCCACCCTGTACATACTTTTAGTTATATTTGTTTAATAAAAAATATGTTAATAATAAAGAATTACTTTTGTTTCATTTTAAACCAGGACTGATGTTGATTATTGATCATAAATACCATGGGCAGTAAAAGAAACAATAGAGAGTAAAAAATGTACTGATATACTTTGTTTTGCTGCAATTTTTAAGTCGAGTGAAATAGATATGCAATTTGTACTACAAAGTTTTTAAGACATTTCCTTAATTGAGGTTTTACTAAATTATTTTTTGAATTTTAAAAAAAGTGAAATAGATATGCAATTTGTACTACGATGTTTTTAAGACAATTTCTTAATAATTGTGGTTTTACACGTTCAGCAGGACAACCAATCGATGGCACATCGCTCACTGATCAACTTATCCTGATGAACGCGACCATTCTCAAAGCTCAAGCTTATAAAAAACTATTTAGGGAGTACCATGAGTCAGACAAGGTTAAATAGTCTGGCAATATTAAGTATAGAAAACGAATTTTCCCAAAAAATTAATTTTGATTATATAATCGATCAGTTTGCTTCCATTAAAAATAGGAGAAAAAATTTCTAATGTTTTATAAATTTTTTAGAATTTTAGTTTACGTTTATAGCATTAATTTTGTTATCCAGTTATATATTTTATTTTGCTATAATAAAAAAATAAAAGTATACGTTAAGTATCCGTGTAAGTAACTGTTTTGTTTTATTTTTCTATTAGTTTAGATACCAGAAAAATATGTCAATATGGGTGTATTTTAGGCGCCAGCCGATAATTTTGCCCCCCGGCGCCGCTATTTCTAGCTACGCCGCTGGTTTTACTAAATTATTTTTTGAATTTAAAAAAAAATATCGTACCTGTCACTTTTTTTCATTCGTTTTATTTAATAATAATTGTCTAACACAACAAAGTCTACTTAGAACGATATGATATAAATATAAATCAGTTCATTAAAAAATGGTCTAATTAAAATTAGTACCTAAATAAGCAAAAATTATCCCCTCATAAAACAAGAAATTAAGGAGTTCAGTAAAAGGATTGCAACTATATATTTTATTCAGTAAATTTTCATAATAGTAAGTATAATCTCTAAAAGCACAATCTCTAAAGCGACAATATGAATAATGTATATTAAGATTTAACTCGAGTTTCAGTGAAAAAACTATATTGATATTAAAATATTTTAATACCTTCAGAATACTAATTACATACCATAAAATAGGAGTTTTTACGATGCGGGAAGCCTATCTAGAAAAAGAATTTTAGAAATCAGCAATGGGATTCTGTAAGCTCTGTAGCAAGAAATTTCCTATCGAGCCTATGCTATTTGTATACGATTGATGAGTCACTAGACAGGGAAATGTTTACAGAATCGCACTGCAGATACCTATTACACTACTAGGAGCCCCCCATTGTGAGGCAGATAAAAAATAATTTTTATATACCTATTCCATAGCCTATTCTTTTAAATGTCTGTAATATTTATAATAAACTTATTTTAACGAGTAGAAGTATTGCACCAGCATCAAAATTAACACTACTTGTAAAAAACTGTTGCTCCTTGAGTTTGTAATAGATATAAACAAAATAAACATTCGAAAATAACTAAATCGAAGATATCTGAAAACTTTTGGTCGAAAAAGTGTTTTGCCATAACATGTTGGATACGATTAAAATATATCGATTGATAAATATGCGCATAATGTTACATTATCAAACTTATTTGATTTCAGAATATTTAACAAAAAGCTTCCAATTTTTCGAAAGATTTAATTCAATTATTAGAGCGTCTTTAACCTCAACTTAAAATAAATAAAACCAAAACAAAACATATCATATGATTTGGAACTGTCCAATAAAAGTGCTTACAGATCGAGCAAGCGCAGAAAACCTCCTCCCGAACAAGGATAGACTAATGTAGGAAATGCATTGACATTCTATAGCCATCCTTCAACATCGGGACAGGAATTTAAGCGGTACCCTCCGTATATTTTATTTGAACGTATTTGTTATTTTGTAACATCTAATATGCGGTGTCTTTTTCAATTTAAACTTCAACAAAACACAAAGTTTACTTAATCAGAATGAGTTGCATACACTAGCTTTTAATTTTAATGGTTGGGGTTCAAAGATCTTAATAAAAGGGCGCCACGAGATTATACTCTATGAACTCAGGATAAAAGATGAAACTATTAAGTAGACTTCAACACTAATCTCTAACTACTGTTAAGTGTATCGAACATGAACTTCAAATATACTAATTACTATTTTAACTTTAGTGACTTTCACTATGAGACTAGACTGTAAATAAAGCAAGTAAATATATTTAAACAATTTATTAAAATATCAAAAAGTTAAATATAAATCGAAAAGGATGAATATTAAAACGAATGAATATGAAAAGTGAATGAACTTAAATTGATAAATTAAAATGATAAAACCATGATGAACTCCATCCCCCTTATCTAACTTAATCTAAAATACATTGCTGGGCAGATATAACAAAAATCAAATCTAAATCTAAACTTATTTAAACAGTCTTACTCAAAAGGTGCACTACTTGAAACTTCCGGCTTAGCTACAGTGTATAGCTATGATGTTTGATGAGGTATAGCTACTGTGTATAGCTACGAGATGATATGGCAGTGTACAGCAGCTTGATGTACTGTCACTGGAGCCCACGGATGTTACAAAATGTACAGATGCAAGGCAGGTGTTGGACTTCCAAATGATGAACATAAATACCCTAAATAAGATTGGTTGTCTTAGAATAGAGCCTCAATTATAGAACAAGATGTAGGAGTTAAATATACAGTTAGTTTTTGTACAAGAAGGACTAATTAAATCTGAACTTTACCTCAACGAGGGCTTCCGATGATGTCCAACGAGGGCTTTTGATGACGTCCAACGAGTAACTCTAAACGGGCAACAGGAACTGACAAAATTCTGGACTGTTTGGTGTTGTACGGCTCTGGATCCGACTTCTTGCTCTACAATGACGAAGAACCAAATAAGATTTAAGAAAGATCACACTCAACTAATCTTTCTACACCACGTGGGCGTGGAAAATTTCGAAAACCAGTCAACAATATGAACAAAAATCAGTTGAGCATTGAGTTAGAATGGGCAGAAGAATTATAGCATACCTTGGAATTCGGAGACTTCTTGGGCACGTGGTACGTTATATCGGCGGAGACGAGGGGCTATTTTAATCCTATACAGATAACGGTTTGTGGTTCATCCAATTACAACCAAATTCAACCAGTTCATGGAACCATAATTCGTTTCCAGAAACTCTAATCCTTCTCACAAAGAAGAACTGTTAACAAGACACAGGTAGAAGGCCTCTGGAACGGCAGCTAAGTCCCCAAGCGACAAAATGCACACACAGCGGATACGAGAAAAGTCACGCAAGGATCGGATTTCCTTCACAAAATCACACTTCGACCGGAAATCTCCCTCCAGGATATAGATAGAGAACTATATCACTCGACTAGTCTCACTCACAGCAGGGTATAAATAAAAAAACAACGTTCTAGAATACTTCCACTGTCATATTCTATATCCGGTCAATGAACGAACTTAACTCTACGAATAAACTCATATTTCGAACAATTTGCACACTACAAACAACACCAAAAATCAAGGATTTAATTACTCAATTAAAAATTATTAAATTTCTCAAATAAAAACAAAAGAATGAACAGCTGATTTGACTTGACCTTGACTGTCAGAAGAGACCATAGAAGAGACGGACAGGTCATGGTTAAAAATATAGTACGTCACTGCCGTCTCTAAAGATCAGCCACCGCGGACTTTTGTTTACTTCATCAGCTGTACATAATTAGATATTGGGTTAGACTTAGACAAGGAAAGAGAGGGGACGGCTAACACGCATATTCTACCGTGATCGATTAGTGAGGCCAAAATTCGATTGGCGGCCATACTTTGGTGACAAGATTTCGAGGTGACACGGAGCGAATTTTTATGTTTTTTGTGACAACTGTTTTGCTTTAAATTTATAAACTGTATTGTTTAGTATGGTGAGATGTTCAGCGTATGGCTGCAAAGGCCGAAGCGAGAAAAAAGTGGCTGGATTTACATTTCACAGGTACAAATCGATACACAACTTTTGTTATGTGGTCATAAAATGTACATTTTTTCATTATAGCAGTAAAAATATGTAAACTGCTTTTGATATGTTTTGTACCACATCCAAACCAAACTATTTTTAATAATTCCAAGCAGTATTTTCAATATCCTTTATTATAATTAATGTTTGAAACTATAAATAATGCTACTCAGCATGGATTTCTCCAGTGGCGTATGGAATTATAATCAGAGAAATACAATTTCTACAATAAACATTTTTTTTTATATATTTTACATGTAAAAAAATGTATAAAGTATTGTTATCAAATATGTAAAATAATTGTAAACTATAAAAAAAATTAAAAATTGTAGTGATAAAAAATCTATATGTATAGTTGTTTTATAAAACTTAAATTTACCTACCAAGATTTGCTGGGGGTGGACAAACTTGCGGTGGGCTACTTGTTACTACATATATTTTTTTTAAATATTCTTTCAAAAAATTTGCTAATTTAAGTGTATAATAATAGTCTCAGTGAGTAATTAATAAAAATTTAAAAATAAATAAAATAACACAAAGCTTCTAGAATTGTTTATTTTTTTGTGAAAAATTAGATAATTCTTATGATTGAAGGTAACAAATATTAAAAATTACATTATTCATTGAATCCGTACGCAAGTGTGAAGGGGAATGGCTAGATTCATTATTATACCGTATGGTCGAAAAAAAACGACGTCCAGTTGGCTCGTAAATGACGATCGACGACATTCCCTATATAACTTTATATATAAAATGACAGCGATCTTCATTTCATAGCTATCGCTGACGCCGTCTTTTTTCGATGTCGTTTTGTATAGTTTTTATGTCATTTTATATGTAGAATTATATGGAGAATATCATCGATCGTAATTTACAAGCCAACTCGACGTCGTTTTTTTTTTTTCGATTATACGGTATAATAATGAATCTAGTCAATTCACTTCACACTTGCTTACGGATTCAATGAATAATGTAATTTTTAATATTTATTTGTGAAATTATCATTTCCAAACAAACAAGACGCCGTTTTTTTGGATCATACAGTATATATGTATATACACGTTTAAAACATATGTTATTACATTATTTTTTATTTAATTATACATTACACACGTTAATAAATAAATAATTGTCTTGATAATCAGTCCACTGTGACCTTTGAATAAGAAGACTGTGACTGTTAAATAAATTTTGCATTATCGACTTAGATATTCTAATATTATAAAGGTGAGACTATAAAATACAAAATTGTATATGCATTACTCAAAAATGAACGATATATTAGTGTACGTTTTAATAAATATTTTGTACCGTCTAGGTACAAGCTAATTTCTGATGCTACGCCATTGGAGAATTTCGCGTGGTGACAACTTGCCTCACTTTCAGCTGCCGTGTTACCTGTCCCCTCTCTTTCCTTGTCTAAGGGGTCAGATCTTTGAATAAGAAGACTAAGGAAGGAGCATATCAAAAATCTTAGGTACACCGCGATGGGCCTCAAATATGGCCGACTTAAATTCCGGTTTATCAGGGTGCAGCCACACTATCCTAAAAACGGCGTATCGGCGTAACGGCGTAACGACCTTGAATCGATTTCCAGTAATTCTATTGGCTGAAATTTTTGACAGATGAATTTGACAGATAAAATTTCTGACAGATGAATGTTTTAGCCAGTAGAATTACAGAAAATCTATTCAAGGTCATTACGCCGTTACGCCGATACGCTGTTTTTAGGATAGTGTGGCTGCACCCTCAGTGTCGTTCTAATTTTATTTAAAAAATGTAAAACTATGATGTAGGGTAGACGTGGAGTAGACTCAATAATTTGTTGTTTTATTTTACGTAGTGAATAAATGTTGGTAGTTATTAAAGTTGTTATAAAAATATATAATTCTAATAAAAATAGATAAGTTATAATAAGTATTTATTAACACAAACATCCGATACGCTACTGAACCAGGTAAGTCAAATTAACGTATCTAAATTCTTTGACATCTAATCTTTGACAAGTAATAAATAAAAGCTAAAATGCAAGAAAAATATATAATTTAGTTAATTTAAGTGAATTTCATAAATGATCGGTTTACTACACGTATGTATATTATATAGTCACTTACTAGCGGAAAGTTGTTCCATTATTTCACTCAATTTTTGCCGAGATCTACCGCACGCTACACAACCAACTATTTTAGAGTCTTTTTTGATAAATCGCGATAGTGTCACTGTTAATTTAAGTTCTGCCACAATTTCCATCTAGATTTACTACCTTTATACAACTATCAGTAGTAGAATAAATAATAAATAACATAAAATAAGCTCCGTAAAAACTGACAAATCCACAAAATTTCAAATCAAATTCAAATGTGTCAAATGAATCGTCAAACAGAACTGTCAAGGATCCCCACCCTAGAGAGCTTTTATGGTGGCTTTTCCGCCCACCATGCATGAATACATGAATAGCATTATGCTCCTTCCTTAAAACTATCTACATTGACTATGGCTGAAATCGTACTTCTTAGTCAATGTAGATAGTTTTAGTGTTAAGAATAATAATTTTAAAAAATATGTGTTCATCTTTTGAGAAGTTTATATTAGTTTATTAATTGCAGTAAACATTATGTGGTGTGTGGTGTGAATATTTTATATGTAATTTTTTGGATTATATTCGACACTATTTTTTGATATGACGCAACACTGATGAAGGCTATAATGTTAGCCGAAACGTTTTTTTTAACCAAATAAAAATAATGAAATACGAAATGAAAACTTAATCAGCCTTTTTCCCGAACCTAAATCCCAAGAAAATCAAAAATTTTAGAATAATTTTACATATAAAATGACAGCGATCTTCATTTCATATTTGCAAATATAATTTTTAGAACGTTCATACTTATAAAATATACATACAAATTTTGTGAATGCAAATAATAATACATCACTATTAGTAGATATTGAATGTTTTTTTGTTAAATTAGATCGACTTTCATACCCCAAAATTTAAAATATATTTTAGATTTTACACATTATCTTATGTACCTATTCATTATTTGTATATTGTAAAACATTTGCTGCATTTGTATGGTTCATAGTTTATTTGCCAAAGTATTTATAGGATACATTAAAATACGCAACCAACCGTCATTGAACCGTCCAATCAGATCAAAGGAGTAATCGTCGTATATCGTGCGTTATCGATAATGTTCGGTGCCTGGAGAAAATTGACAATTGACAAGAGAATTGTTTATTATTTTTGACTTTTTAGTTCGTTTAATTTAATAATTACCTATGATAATTACTAAAACCAGTAGTTCGAAAGATATATTTAAAAATAAAAGATAAAAATCCAAAAAATTAATTATCTATTAACGTGGATTTGGACGACAATAGGTAAGAACACTAAATTTATTTCTATATTCGATATAAACTTGTTTATTAGGTTTTTAGTATGTTTTAGTTTGTGATGTTTCATGTGATCATTTTCATGTTCATCGTCTTTGAATTGACATGAGGATATCTATGGAAAAGTAACTAATCTGACAGTAAGCCAACATATCGTTTGTCCTTTGTGTGCTAAAGAAAAGATTTTCTTTTCGCATCATGAGGAAGTATTACATCAATTAAAAAATGTTAGGAAGTTGATTACTTGTCATGGAAAAGTATACCAATGGAAATTATTTGTTAAAGAAGTATAATTCTAAGGGTAAATTTTATTATAATTAGTAACCTGTCTATTTTTTATACGTAGATGTTTCAGGTTTTAAGAATAAATTGGTTGAACCCAAAATCTGGAGGAAGTACCTATATCCATACACAGAATATGCCCATTAAAAATACTAGTCCAAATTTGCTTTAATGGTAGACAATTATTCAATACAAATTAACTTTTTAAGTGACTGAAATATTAAATAGTTTAGAATATGGTATAACAATGTAAAAAAATATTATTTTCAGGAACGATTAGGGCCCGATATATTTGAAACTCATGTTGGACATAGTATTGAGTTGGGTAGAATATTATTCTACGTTAAGTGAGGGTATCAGATACCTATTATTGTACTGTATTTTAATATATACATTAGAATTGTTGGTTTTTTCATATTTGTTTTATTTATTATTTTACTTACAAGTTATATAAAGTTAACACTAAAATCTACTTTTTGACTTATATAAGTTAGTCTGTGGTTTAATGCGTGATTACATCCACATGATTTCAAGTTTTTAAAATATAAATATTATAACTGGCTTTAAAAACTCCATTAAACTGTTAAAAGTGTAATTTATTTCAAAATAAATATACATATATAGGTATATATTAATATCGAAAAACATTTTTATTCCTTAACACCAATTTAATCATCACATACATATGTATAAACATTTATTTACGTTATTTCAAATGAAGACCACAGGAAAAACCAGCTTTGTTCATTTTAACTGGAGCCGAGAAAATGCAATTACGAGTGAACTACTCTGGTTTTTCTCCTGTAGGGCAAAATAACTAAGCTGTAATATCTCTGGGACTAAGCATATTATTATTGCTTTCTTTGATGGTGCCTCGAATAATGCTAACACTTGCCTATAAAATTGTCTCGCTATCAATTTCTATGAA